CGCTATGCCGCATATGACCAACATCACAACTCATCGAATTCATCAAACAAGTCTTAGCTAATCTTGAAATTTCCAAAGTCCATACTCAAAAAACATAAAAAACCTACACTAGACCGGTCCACTACATAAGCATGCAAAATCCAAATAATAGGACATAGCAATTTCATATAATGAACCAATACCAGCAACCAACACAAAAACACAAACTCAAAAGAAATGACAGAAAGAGAAAGCAAACTCAGAAGGTTGAAAAAAACAAAGAAAAATGTGTGCAAACCGAAATTCCTCGAGAGGAATAAGCATCCACGTGCAAGTTGGTCGCCTATGCTCAGCCTCGCGAACTCATACCTACCAATCAGAAAAACATAGAACTCCAAAACTACCATTAATTAAAGATAAAACTAAAAGCGTAAAGAAAAATCTAAGAAAACGATAAATCACTTGGGTTGCCTCCCAAGAAGCGCTTCTTTAACGTCATTAGCTTGACGAAACCTGTGAGGAACTCAACAAGGGCCTAAAAAGAAGTGACGATCGTGCCACGCCTTCGTATTCTCTAGTAGTGGTAGCATGGAAAGTGTGGCAAGAAGGCGGGAATGGTGGATCCGGGTGGCTATGTTCTGAATGAAACCGGTGTGGGCACGAGCAACCCCAGTAATTGACATAGAACTTTTCCCACCCAAGGTCTATCGTCATCCTCAGGGATTATGAGAACATCCGTGGAACAAGTCGAACTAAATCCGGCCCACTTGGTAGCACAGTGTAATGGCTCCGAAGGTGAATGCTCAAATTCGGTGGCGGGAGGAGGGACTTGAGAAATGGTGACGTGGAATTTTTGGTCAAGTCCACGAATCTCTTCCTCCAAAATATCATCGTCTCGCTGGAGTGCATCATCTTCCTCTTCGGTCTCACACATGTGTATCGGAATGCATGCTTGGGCACCTACCATAAGATGGGAGTCGTCGACTTTCAACTCGAAAGAGTCGAGACGTGCTGTTAGATTTTCCATTTGAGCACTCAGTCGAGCACACCCGAGCTCAATCTCCCCTTCTCGGTTTGCTTGGGCCATCATATGATCCCGGATGAGATCAAGTTTGGCATTGTATCTCGAAGAGTCATCCTCAAGCTTATCAAAAGGTACGGGTTCCGGATGTGGGTCCACAACCATGGGCTTATTGGCTCGTGACTCGATAGAGTCGATGCGCCTCGCTAGACTCTCCAATTGCTCGCTCAAACGGGCACATCTGAGCTCAATCTATGCTTTTCGGTTTTCTTGGGCCCTCATTCGATCGAGGATGAGATCAAGCTTAGCGTTGAATGCGTCTTCTTCTTCTCGAGCTGCTATAAAGGTAAGAATTTGGTCGAGCTTCTCGTTAAACACATGGGACTCGTAAGACTGCTCGACTGGATAGGGATCCCAGTACTGCTCGGAAGAGTATGAGTATGACTGGTCATGGTACCCGACATGATAGCTCGGCTCGTTAACCCATGATTGGGTATGCGGATAGGGAAAAGCACGGTTGAAGTTCATAATTCCTGCACACCAAAACAGAACAACTACACGTAGCCACGAAAAGAGAGAAAAAAGAAAAAAAAAACAAAAACAAAAACAAAGAGAAAAACAAAGATGCACACGAAAGAAAGAACGAAAACACGATAATTAGAAACTAAAGAGGAACACAAAAAATAAAATCAATACCAAAACCAAATATCCTACTTGCCATCCCCGGCAACGGTGCCAAATTTGTTGTAGCAAATTATTTTTATTTTTACCGAGAACCGAATCAAAAGATTCGTTCTCCGGGTCGATTTCTCAAGGAAGACGTTTCGGAATTTAGCGTTGGTATTGATCACACACGAAAAGAAAA